ATCATAGTGACACTGTACTATCTGTAGGGGGGTGATGAAGATTTTTTTTTTTTTACATTGTAAAAGCAGGCTGTAAAAGCAATAATTTCTCCTCCTCTCTGGCTACATTCTTGTAGCCATTGAGAAATACTGTGAGAGCTGTGATTGGTCACAGCTTGTCACATGGTACAAGGCTGTTTATAGCCTTGTACCATGTGATCTCTGTGATCATTCACAGATTTAATTAGTAGTAAGCAATGATGTCAGGAAGTGACATCTTGTATACCACTGTCCATGTGATCACCGATTGGCCAATCAGGGATCACATGATCGAGACCTCACACAGAGGTCCCTACAGCAATTGGTGTTCGGCTGTGTCCTCCGGATCCACTGGATTGCGGTGCCGCGCGCTCCCTGGGAGCGCGCACAGGCAGGGAAGCGGGAGGACGTTTATAAATGGCTACATGCTCCTGCACTGCTCCCGTCCGGCCGTTTATATACATGGGCTGGATGGGAAGTGGTTAAACACAATTTTTTTTGGGGGGAAAAAAATACAGGTGAATGAATTTTAGCACACACAAACACAATATAATACCCTATTGTTTTGTAATGTGTAAAATATGTTACACTGAGTAAAAAGATACCTAACACATCAACCTTTAAAACTGCGCACACCTGTGGAATGGCAACAAACTACAGAAACAAAAAATTTCCATAGGAAATGCTTTAAAGCAGGGATGTCAAACTGGTGGCCCTCCAGCTGTTGTTTGAAACTACAAGTCCCATCATGCCTCTGCCTTTCGGAGTCATGCCTGTAACTGTCAGTCTTGCAATGCCTCATGGGACTTGTAGTTTGGCAACAGCTGGAGGACTGCCAGTTTGACACCCGTGCTTTAACCACTTGCCCTCCAGATTATTTACCCCCCTTCCTGACGGGGCCATTTTTTGCATTCTGGCACTGCCGTACTTTAACTGACAATTACACGGTCATGCAATGCTGCACTCAAATGAATTTGACATCCTTTTTTCCCATGGATTGAGCTTTCCTTAGGTGGTATTTGATTGCCTGTGCGGTTTCAATTTTTTGCACTTTAAAAAAAAACCGACAATTTTGTGATAAAAAACAATATTTTTGATTTTTTGCTATTAAACATGTCCAGTAAAAAAAATAAAAAATTCAAATTGCATCATAAATTTACATCAAAATGCATCCTGCTACATTTCTTTACTAAAAGAAAAATCCCAATACATGTAAATTAATTGGTTTATGTGAAAGTTATAGCATTTACAAATGACGGTATAGATACTGGGATTTTTATTTTTATTATTAATGGGAGCAATCAGCGACTTATAGCGAGACTGCGGCGGACATTCTGACACTGGAGGGAACTGACTTGGTGTCACTGACATTCCCAATGACACCAATACAATGATCAGTGCTAAAAAAAAGCACTGACACTGTACTAATGGCACTGGGCAGGAAGGGGTTAACATGAGGGGCGATCAAAAGGGTTAACTGTGTGCTGGGAGTGTGTTTTACTAGGGGGCGGTGTCTGTGTGCTTCACTGTAAGCACACTGATTGGGATGGCTGTAGCAGTGTACCCGAGCTGACAAGGAGGAGAACTGTTAGTAAACAAACAGTCCTCCTCCCCGTCGGTGATTGTCGGAAATCACCGGGCGCCGGTGAGTAATTACCAGCTGGAACCCGGTGATTGACAGCCGTGGCTGGTGGTGCGGGCAGGGCAAACTCGCGCCCCCTATCTGGAAATGCAAAATCACCTACAGTCATGGCCGAAATTGTTGGCACCCTTGATATTTCTCCAGGAAATCATGTATTTCTCACGAAACGTATTGCATTAACACATGTTTTGCTATACACATGTTTATTCCCTTTGTGTTTATTGGGACAAAACAAAAAAAGGGAGGAAAGAAAGCAAATTCGACATAATGTCACACAAACCTCCAAAAATGGGCTGGACAAAAGTATTGGCACCCTTTCACAACTGCGGATAAATAAGAATGTTACAAGCATGTGATGCTCCTGTAAACTCACCTGGGGCAAGTAACAGGTGTGGGCAATATAGAAATCACACCTGAAAGCAGATAAAAAGGAGAGACGTTCACTTAACCTTTGCATTGTGTGTCTGTCTGTGCCACACTAAGCATGGACAACAGAAAGAGGAGACGAGAACTGTCTGAGGACCTGAGAACCAAAATTGTGGCAAAATATCAACAATCTCAAGGTTACAAGTCCATCTCCAGAGAACTAGATTTGCCTTTGTCCACAGTGCGCAACATTATCAAGAAGTTTGCAACCCATGGCACTGTAGCTAATCTCCCTGGTCGTGGACGGATGAGGAAAATTGATGAAAGATTGCAACGCAGAATAGTCCGGATGGTGGATAAGCAGCCCCAAACATGTTCCAAAGACATTCAAGCTGTCCTGCAGGCTCAGGGAGCATCAGTGTCAGCGCGAACTATCCGTCGACATTTAAATGAAATGAAACGCTATGGCAGGAGACCCAGGAGGACCCCACTGCTGACACAGAGACATAAAAAAGCAAGACTACAGTTTGCCAAAATGTACTTGAGTAAGCCAAAAGCCTTCTGGGAAAACGTCTTGTGGACAGATGAGACCAAGATAGAGCTTTTCGGTAAAGCACATCATTCTACTGTTTACCGAAAACGGAATGAGGCCTACAAAGAACAAAACACAGTACCTACGGTAAAATATGGTGGAGGTTCAATGATGTTTTGGGGTTGTTTTGCTGCCTCTGGCACTGGGTGCCTTGACTGTGTGCAAGGCATCATGAAATCTGAGGATTACCAAAGGATTTTGGGTCGCACTGTAGGGCCCAGTGTCAGAAAGCTGGGTTTGCGTCCAAGATCCTGGGTCTTCCAGCAGGACAATGACCCCAAACATACGTCAAAAAGCACTCAGAAATGGATGGCAAAGAAGCGCTGGAGAGTTCTGAAGTGGCCAGCAATGAGCCCAGATCTAAATCCCATTGAACACCTGTGGAGAGATCTTAAAATTGCTGTTGGGAAAAGGTGTCCTTCCAATAAGAGAGACCTGGAGCTGTTTGCAAAGGAAGAGTGGTCCAAAATTCCGGGTGAGAGGTGTCAGAAGCTTTATTGATGGTTATAGGAAGCGACTGATTTCAGTTATGTTTTCCAAAGGGTGTGCAACCAAATATTAAGTTAAGGGTGCCAATACTTTTGTCCAGCCCATTTTTGGGGTTTTGTGTGACATTATGTCATATTTGCTTTTCTGCCTCTGTTTTATATTTGTTCCAATACATACAAAGGGAATAAACATGTGTATAGCAAAACATGTGTTAATGCAATACCTTTTTTGTGTGAAATACTTGATTTTCAGGAAAAATATCAAGGGTGCCAACAATTTCGGCCATGACTGTATATACACGTGATTTTGCGCACTCGTGCCGCCCTGCAGTATTTCTGCTATAGGGCAGTCGGGAAGTGGTTTAAAGCGATGCTAAAGCAGTGGTTCTCAACCTTCCTAATGCCGTGACCCTGCAGTTCCTCATGTTGTGGTGACCCCCAACCATAAAATTATTTACCCAGTAATTATAATTTATGAGTGTCGTTTTACCTCCAATACTGCTGCTTTCAACACAGTAGCTGCTTTTAACAGAGTAGCTGCTTTCAACACAGCAGCTGCTTTCTACACAGTAGCTGCTCTTTACACATCGGAAATATGTGTTTTCTGATGGTCTTAGGGGACCCCTGTGAAAGGGTCGTTCGACCCCCAAAGGGGTCGCGACCCACAGGTTGAGAACCACTGTGCTAAAGTATTTTATTTTTTTTTTAAAACAAACATGTCAATACTTACCTGCTTTGTGTAATGGTTTTGAACAGAGCAGCCCAGATCCACCTCTTCTCGGGTCCCCTGCCGGCGCTCCTGGCCCCTCCCTCCTGCTGAGTGCCCCATAGCAATGAGCTTTCTACGGGGGCACCTGAGCAAGCATGCTCCCTACTCACGATTCTTTAAAATGTACGATGAAACAAGGCAGGGATGTCCCCCTTATTGTTTGCGTTATCATTAGAGCCACTCCTAGAAAGGATTAGGAAGAACAGGGATATAAGAGGGATAAAAGTAGGAGATATAGAACATAAGGTCGCTGTGTATGCAGACAACATGTTTCTATGTGGTTAACCCGATAATACCATTACCGAACCTAATGAAAGAATTAAAAAAAAATATGGAGCAATATCAAATCTGAAGATAAACCCAGTGAAATAAAATAAAAAAAAAATAAATAAAATAAATAAAAAAAAAATATAAAAAAAAATAAAAAAAAAAAAAATATTAAAAAAAAAATAAAAAATAAAAAATAAAATAAAAAAAAAAAAAAAAAAAAAAAAAAAAATAAAAAAAAAAAAAATAAAAAAAAAAAAATAAATTAAAAAATATAATAAAAATAAAAAAAAATAAATAAAATAAAAAAAAAAAAAAATATAAAAAAAAAATAAAAAAATAAAAAAAAAAAATAAAAAAAAAAAAAAAAAAATAAAAAAAAAAAAATCAGAAATTCTCAATATTAACCTCCCAGTGAAAGATAAGAAAAATCTGCAGAAGGCGTTTCCATTTACGTGGAGGGAAAAGGATTTAGAGTACCTCAGAATAAAATTAACTACTTCAATAAGAAAAATGTATCAAGTAAATTATATCCCATTATTAAATGTAAAAAGGAGTAAAAAAAAAAGGCTGCAAAAGGTGGGGCCTCATGGATAGAAAGAATACATTTAGTTAAAATGGTAATACTACCAAAAATATTGTATAAATTTCAAATGCTCCCGATTGTTCTCCCAGGGATCATTTTCACCATAGTTAGGAGGAAGATTACTTAATTACTTACCGTATTTTTCGCTCCATAAGACGCACTTTTTCCCCCCCAAAAAAGGGGGGAAAATGTCAGTGCGTCTTATGGCGCAAATATAAAGCGGTCGGTCCGGTATTTCCGCCGCCACCATGTCAGAATACCGGACCGGCCGCTCAGCTGTTCTCTGCGGCAGGAAATCACCTGTTCCTGTCTAGCACTGTAGTCTTCCAGCACCAGCTTCTTCCCACCCCGGCATCTGTGACAGCCGGGTGCCCACTGCGCATGCGCGAGAAGTGCTGCGCTTTGTGAATGGTCCGGTGTCTTCTGGGACACAACAGGTTCCAAAAGACGCCGGGCCATTCACAAAGCGCAGCGCTTCTTGCACATGCGCAGTGGGCACCCGGCTGTCAAAGTGCCCACAGTATAGGAAGGAGAACTCCGCGGACGTGGGAGCGGGTACCTGTTCAAATTCAGGTACCCGCTCCTCCTCCCTCCCTAAAGGTCTGCATTGTCTGGTCATGCCCTGTACTGTCCGCAGTCTCTGGTCATCTCCTGTACTGTCCGCAGTCTCTGGTCATCTCCTGTACTGTCCGCAGTCTCTGGTCATCCCCTGTACGGTCTGCAGTCTCTGGTCATCTCCTGTACTGTGTCCCCAGTCTCTGGTCCATCTCCTGTACTGTGTCCCCAGTCTCTGGTCATCTCCTGTACTGTGTCCCCAGTCTCTGGTCATCTCCTGTACTGTGTCCCCAGTCTCTGGTCATCTCCTGTACTGTGTCCCAGTCTCTGGTCATCTCCTGTACTGTGTCCCCAGTCTCTGGTCATCTCCTGTACTGTGTCCCCCAGTCTCTGGTCATCTCCTGTACCGTGTCCGCAGTATCTGGTCATCCCTGTACTGTCCGCAGTCTCTGGTCATCTCCTGTACTGTGTCCGCAGTCTCTGGTCATCTCCTGTACTGTGTCCACAGTCTCTGGTCATCTTCTGTACTGTGACCGCAGTCTCTGGTCATCTCCTGTACTGTGACCGCAGTCTCTGGTCATCTCCTGTACTGTGTCCGCAGTCTCTGGTCATCTCCTGTACTATGTTTGCAGTCCATTGGTTCAGAATATTTTTTTTTGTTTTTCTCCTCTAAAACCTAGGCGCGTCTTATGGTCAGGTGCGTCTTATGGAGTGAAAAATACGGTAATTTGTCTGGGCAACTAAGAAACCTAGAATACATTATGAGATGCTATGTAGAGCAAAAGGAAATGGAGGACTGGGGTTACCTAAAGGGAAGAATTATTATATAGCGCGATTGTTATCACGGGTGGTGGATTGGAACTTTAACACACAAAGGAAAAGTTGGGTAAAAATAGAAGAGGAATTAAGTAAAACACAATTACAGAAGATGATATGGATACAATATAGGTTCTGAACACTGGATATAGGCACAGGTGAGTTGACTAGGATGGTATTAGACACGTGGGATAGAATACACAGTATAGAAAAATGGAAATATAATTCGTTGTTGATCCCATTAGAGGGTACAGAATACTTTGCACCAGGAAACATGAATATAGGGGGAAGATGGATAAAAGATAACAATGCACATTTGAAAGACAATGTAAAAGGAGGGAAATTATGCCAGTTTCAAATGTTAAAGAAAAATGTATTCACTAAGTTGGATGAATGGAGGTATAACCAGCTTTACCATTTTGTTGCAAGTCTACCACAACCGATGAGGTCATTAGAGGAAATTAATCCTCTGGAAAAACTAATTAATGGGGTGGGTACCCCAAAAAATCTGACCTCAAGGATATATAGGATCCTCATGGACTTAGATGGAATAGAACCCCCTAGGTATATAGGTAAATGGGAGAAGGAATTAGGAGCTGAATTGAACCCACAGCAAAGGAAAATTATTTTTGATTTAGCACATAGGACTATAAATATGAGTATAGTTGAAATGAACTATAAATGTATGGCGAGATGGTATCTAACTCCAAGTGTGGTAAACAAACAAGTGGAGGGTTCTCCTGAGTGTTGGAGAGGGTGCGGAGAAAGGGATAGCATGGAGCATGTATGGTGGAGCTGCCCGAAATTGAAACATTATTAGAGGGAAATAGCTTTATATTATTATTATTATTATACAATATTTATAAAGCGCCAATAGTTCGCTCAGCGCTGTACATTACAAAGGGGGACAGAACATGTGACAGAACAATACCAATACAATGCAAAACATGAGGGGATCGAGGGCCCTGCTCTTTCGAGCTTACAATCTAGGAGACATATACTCAGGATATACGTGGGGTAGATATTCAAGGAGATCCGTGGAAATGCCTATTTTATTATTTTGATTCAGCTTCGGTATTACGTAAAAATAAAGCTTTGTATCACTTGTTAAGTGCTTCAAAGGGTTTAATTCCTAAATTTTGGCATGCAAAGGAGGCCCCGAGGATTGAGGATTGGATTGACAGAGTAGAGGGTATTGTGCGAATGGAGGAATTAAGATGTATAGAGGAGGATAAAACTGAGATGTTTAGGAGAACATGGAGTGGCTGGATGAAATTTAGGACCTCCAAAAAGTATATGGAATTATTGAGAGTAAAAGTAGTAGGACAGAAGACTTGATAGTATTAAAGAAAGAGTCTTTTGCAGACTCTAACAGGTTTTCTTCTAAGATTGCCCTTGATTTGGCTCCATCCATCTTTCCATCAACTCTGACCAGATTCCCTGTCCCTGCTGAAAAAAATGCATCCCCACCACATGATGCTGCCACCACCATGTTTCACGGTGTGTTCAGGTTGATGTGCAGTGTTAGTCTGCCACAAATAGTGTTTTGCTTTTAGGCCAAAAAGTTAAATTTTGGTCTCCTCTGACCAGAGCCCATTCTTCCACATGTTTGCTGTCCCCCCCACATGGCTTCTTGCAAACTGCAAATGGGACTTCTTATGGCTTTCTTTCAACAATGGCTTTCTTCTTGCCACTCTTCCATAAAGGCCAGATTTGTGGAGTGCACGACTAATAGTTGTCCTGAGGACAGATTCTCCCACCTGAGCTGTTGATCTCTGCACCTCCTCCAGAGTTCCCATGGGCCTCTTGGCTGCTTCCCCGATGAATGCTCTCCTTGCCAGGCCTGTCAGTTTAGGTGGACGGCCATGTCTTGGTAGGTTTGCAGTTGTGCCATACTCTTTCCATTTTCAGATGGTGGATTGAACAGAGCTCTGTGAGATGGTCAAAGCTTGGGATATTTTATTTTTTTATAACCTAAGCAGGATCACCAGATGAAAATAAAAGGGAAACAAATCCTCAAAAAGGAACCCAATGCAGCCAACACTTTTAAAGATTGGGAAGCTGCAAAATACTTTGAATGAATGTTCTCTGCAAACCAGCCTTGCAGTGTGCTTAACCCCTTGCATGAAGATTTACCCCCCTTAATGACCAGGCCATTTTTTGCTATTTGGCATTGTGCCATTTCAACTGGTAATTGCGTGTTCATACAACGCTGTTCCCCACACAAATAGAGCTTTCTTTTGGTGGCATTTGATCACCAATGGGTTTTTATTTTTTGTGACAAACGAAAAAAAAAAAAAACACCAAAATTTTGAAAAAAAGAAATTTTTTACTTTTGGTTATAAAAAACATCCAGTAAACTCAAAGCTAGTAAAACATTTAGGCCAAAATGCATTCTGCTACATGTCTTTGGTTAAAAAAAATCCCAATACATGTATATTAATTCGTTTGTGTGAAAGTTATAGTGTCTGCAAACTATGGTACACGGGCGGACTGACAACTCATGGGGCCCCCGGGCAATAGAGGATCATGGGGCCCCTGTGTCCTTGCCCAAACTCAAAAAAGCCTATGAAAAAAGGTACCAGGGGCATCTCATGGGGCCCCCTACTGACCCCGGGCCCTCTGGCAGTGCCAGAGTTTCCAAATGGTCAGTCCGCCCCTGCTATGGCGTATATACTGGAATTTACACAGCTTTTACTTCCTGACTTCCTATCACATTTCTTGGGGTGCTAAAATGCCAGAGCAATACAAACACCCCCAAATGACCTCTTTAAGGTGAGCAGATACCCCAAGGAATTTGCTGAGAGGCATGCTAGGTCAATAAAACATTTTATTTTTCGCCACAAATTTTTCACATCCTGGTGGACGGGAGAGCCCAAGAAAACCTCGGAAGGCGGCAGGAGGGGTGGGGGAAGTAATTTCCCACTGCTTGTAAAAGCGATCCAGTGGCTAATTAGTGGCTAGGATTGTTTTTACATGAAAGCAGACCGCCAGTTAAAAAAATACGATACCAGGATGATGGACTGTAGCTGCAGGCATCATCCTGGTATAGCCACTCAAAGTCCAGCAACGTCCCAGTACATTGCTGGTCCATGTTCGGTATATACAGTATGTAACAGCAGAAAACACGGGCATATGATGAATCGGGTCTGTGGACCATTATGACTGCAATTCATTCTTTTTTGCCCATTTTGAGGGTTAGGCCCAAAAAAGTTTTAAATTCAAAAGCCGTGATAGGTTTCCATGCGAATTGTCTGGCAAGAGCTGCAATTGGGTGGGCGGCGATGTATTGTTGTGTGTATAAATTGCTCTGGCCCACAATCAATTGGTACAAATCTTCTGTGAAAAACAGTGGGGGGGGCGAATGCTAGTGGTGGCAGTGAACGGGACCGATCCTGCTAACACTGCATTTTTGGGGGCACTATACTAAGGGGGCACTAGTATAGTTCTGTTCATGATCAATATACTGATCTGTACAAACACTAAACTAGTAATGGTGGTGATCAGCGACCTATAGTGTGAGTGAGATAGTGTGCGGCAGGGGGGCGGACTGACCATTTGAGCTTTGCCCGACGGCCCGGGGTCAGTAAGGGGCCCCCATAAAATGCCCCTGGTACCTTTTTATAGGCTTTTTTGGGTGTGCTTTGAGTGTGGGCAAGGACACAGGGGCCCCATCATCCCCTATTGCCTGGGGGCCCCATGAGTTGTCAGTCCGCCCCTGGTGTGTGGGCAATCTAATGCTAGCTTACCCTGGCTTGGAGGGGCACTAACAGACCCTGACGTTATCTGATGTCACTACGCCAGTGATCAGTGAAAAATTCTATATACTGACACTGTACTAATGGCACTGAATGGGTGACAGGGCAATCAAAGGGTTAATAGGGGCGATCAAGGAGTTAAATGTGCTAATCTAATGTGTGCGTAAAATGTAGTGCTTTTACTCGGTGCCGTGTTCGTTGTTCTCTCCCTGGACGGAATAGGGGGCAGCAGGGAGTGCACACATACCCGGAAATAGGAAGCGACGTAAGATTGCGTCGCTTTGCCTAGAGCCACTGCTCGCCCTCACATTGATGGCAGGCGGGCGACAAGCAGTTAAAAAAAAAAATGTTCAAAAAAAATTTCTCTCAATTTTTTTAAACATTTTTTTTAAAAACATTTTTCTTTTATTTACAATTTTAAAAGCAGCGCGTTTGCGGGTGCCGGAACCACAGGGAAACCGCATGGTCAATAACCCTGCGGGTCACGTTAGGAAAATTGTGCATGCACCTTTTTCTGCAGGAAATGAATGAAACAAAATGAATGGAAAGCACATGTATGTGAACAGAGCCTTAACTCACTCTCTTCTACAGCATCCTAAAAACACATTCTACACAGCATTTATGAGTTCCAGAAGGCAGGGGGTGGGGATCTGATATCACATACTGCACAGCAGAGAGCTGAGTGTAATCTGAGACATGAGCTGGGCTCGGCTGTCCCCTGGGATTCTGTGGTGTCGGCATATCCTGTCACAAGTGCAGACAGCAGAGGGAGGAGAGAACAGATAGGAACCACACTTGTTGCTTTGGATTGAGGTTAGTACACACTATGGAAGGGTATGCTTTGTTTTTCATTGCACTGGTTTACAACCACTTTAACCTCCCTGGCGGTATTCCCGAGTGTAGCTCAGGGTAAAGTTTCAGCACCACAAGCGGTAACCCCGAGCTACACTCGGGAATACACTGCAGCGTTGCTCCGGGATCTCTTCTTCACTTACCTTGTCCTTCACTCCCGCGATGTCCCTCCTGCAGTGTCCCCCGCAATGTCCTCCGGCCGATGCCA